CCTATCATGACATCCAGCTCTGATCTGACAAGATGGAGAGTTGCATGCTTTCAGACATAAAGCAGTCAAATTGCTTTTAGGGGGCAGTTATTCTGAATCCTTGTTCCCTGACAGCTAGTGGAGCTTGTTCCGTGGAGTTTCTGCTCAGCCTTAAGAGATGTTTGCCAACCTTTGTGTTACAGTGTGTCCCCAGAACTCATGGGCAGTATTACATAAATAAGAACCAGCTAAGAGATCAAGACCAGGGTTTAGCCTGCAGTAAAAACACACTTGTGCTCCTGTTCATTCCAGTTGCTGTTTGGAATGTGGAGTAAGTCAGAACAAAGCTGTACTGGCATGTTACAAACAGGCAGCTGGGTATGCAGAAGCAAGGGAAGTAGCTTTCAATCAATGCCTTTGTAGTCTCAGCAAAGCAGCATAGGCTGTGCTACATGGACAGTGTCTTCCCCCAGAACAGCTGCTTTCTTGGTGGTCAGGTCACTGCGGGGTGGCTGTAAGAGAAATTTTAACCCAGAGTCAGCAGCAGCGTCCATGACACCTTAGATGTCTTCCCATTCCAATCTTGCAGGCCTGGTTTAGCAGGAGCAGCAAGGAGTGCACCATCAGGTTGGGAAAGGGGGCTAAGAGATAGGCTACAACTGGCATCAGTCTTGCAGGCTCCCTCACACTGAGATCCGCAGGAAAGTGTGGGCACATGGGGTGCAACCAAGAGTCCAGCATTGTTTCCCAAGGATATACATACTTGTCCAGTCCAGGGCTCCATACTGGCCAAGGGCGCAGGTAGAGGATGGATCGTCAGAAACACGGACAGTGAGACCTTGTAGCAGAATCATTAAAATCACACCTTCAATTTGGCTGTGGGGAGAAGCCAACATGTGGTCATGATGCCTGCCTGATTCATAACTGCTGCAGACAAGCCCAGCTTCCCCAGTGAGAAGAACATGAGGCCTGTTTCTGGAGCAGAGAAAGCTACTGCCACCTTCTTCTGTGCCAGGGGCTTGGTTAACTGGCCCTTGCTCACAGCGTATCCAGGTCAGCCTTTCAGCACACTCCAGACATGGTGGCAAGCATGGCAGGAGCACTACATATTCCCTCCAGAGACATGCAGATGTTGCTTAGCCACTGGGCAGAGACTTAGAAATACCTCTCACTCCAGGATTGAGGATGGGAAAAAGTCAGGCAATGACTTCAGCTTTGTCCTCATTCATAGCTGGCTGGTTAAGAATGAGGCAACGAAGTCCACAGCAAGTGGGAGACAACAGCTTTCAAAGGCAGTGCCTAATGCCTCTCTTTGACTGATGTTCTTGCTGCTGCAGCTCCACCTGACTTACATAAGGCACCAGGCCACAAATATCTGCCTAGGGCTCCAACAGCTCATCCCTGATGCAGTGCCGTGCCAAACCTAGGCGTGTAAATTGCCCACAGGAAAGACGGTCACTACCCAATTTGTTGTGACCACTTGCCCTCTGAGTGATGAGCCCCATCTCCCTCAGCAGAGCACTGGGACCTGACAAATCCCTGTACTGCCATGAGAATGAGTGCCCCTCTCAGACACACAGCTCCAATCTGCTTCAAATGTAAGTGATGCTGGGCATGGTTAAATCCCGATTCATGCAAAGTAAGGGAGACCTTCATCTTCCTTCTTGTTTTTCTTGCACCAATTCCACATACTCCTCCTTGCTTTAAAACCTTTAGCTCTTTAGCTCTATGGCTCAGGCAGCCAGCTTCCCCCTTACCATGGTCATGTGCATGGACACCAGAAGGAAGTGCAACAGGACGGCTACCACTGATGTCCACGCTCTTCTTTATTTGCTCCCAAACCCCTGTGTGTGTGAGCATGTGTGTTCAAACCCAAGCCTACTTACCTTGCTACAAAAATCAGGCCTGTAGATGTACCCTCTCCCACAGGGTAAGAACACTCCACAGCCAGCTCCATGGCAATAGGATAGATGGCAAAACCAAAAAAACCAAAGAGTGAGCTGGTGATGGCCAGTGTTACAGCCTGGTTTCTGAACCGGGAAGTCTGCAGGCAGAAGAGAAACACCAAAGTCTCACTGTCAGCACTGCTGCGCAGAAAGTCTCTGAACCCATAATCTGCAGGAATTCCTAAGGACTCTTCCCACAAGTACCTTCCCTATGTATTCCTGAAATCTTTTACCTCCAAACCTCTGAAGTCAACAAATGGCTACATGATGGAGATTTATCTGTTGAATTTAAGCAAGGAGAGACAGGATCAGCAGAATTACCTGAAAATCATTGGTGTGGTCATATTTCTGTGACTTGACTTCCTGGTCAGTAACTTACCAGGAGTATACTAGGCGTATCTCCGGCACCAAGTGAAACACACACCTTCCTCCTAGGTCAAGCTAACATTTAAGAATTGGTGTTTGCATTGGGTTACATGTGACAATTCATTGGGTTGCTGCAACTCACAGATAAGGAAAACTATTCCTTAGTTGCAGCAGCTCAGTGACAAGGAAAATTATTCCTTATCACAGCAGAGCCATGTTTGTAACATTGGGGTTTTACCACAAAGAGCCCCCACAAAGCAAACCAAAAAAAAAAAACCCTGAAACAGTCATAAATCCTCAAGATCAGTTTAGTGCCTAGAACAACCTTGTCCCTAACACTTGAGGAAAGAGCATGGCCTTGTCCAGATAATGCTAGAAAAAAAAGACCACATATCCTGCAGCCGCAGTGCTGGTAACTGATTCCTTAATCATGTAATAAACTCACACAGAGGAACATGAGCTGTCATCCTGGCATGGCTGGAGCAGGCCTGGCCCAGCTAAACTGGTACAGTCAAGGAAAACGCTCTGTCTGTAATCTGAGTTCAAAGCATCAAGCAGATCTGAATACGTGTTTTTTGTTTACTACTTTGAACTAGTTCATCTGTAAGGGATGAACGTGGTGGAGAGAAGGGGAGGAGGGAAAGGTCTGCTTGTTACTCCTGATACAGTCACTTTCCTATGCTGTGCTTTACCTGAGCCCAGGCATGCTGACTTGTGTTCACAGCATCTCCCCAACAAATGCCAAAGTACTAAGGGGAGAAATAAAAGGCCTGCTTTAGGTACCTTGTCCTACACTGAGAAAGGCACTGCATTTGTCTGTCTCTTCAAAGTAGAGTTAACATCACTGGGATCTTGGCCCAGGGGGACGTGTGATCATGCTGTATTGAAACTGAATTTTTCAACACGCAGGAAAAATGCACAGTACAAGCCTATCGAAAAAGAAGAGACCTGCACCAGTCTGGGTCCTCTGTAGTGCTAGGAGTCCTCTACCTCATGCTCAGGTTCCTGCTGGGTGATGGCTCCCACTGGCAATGACTATGCTCAACTGGAGTAATTGCACTCCAGCCCCATGGGAGTAAAGTCTCCAGGTTCTGCACTCCTATCCTGGCCGGATTCAAGTGCCTTCTTTTTCTGCCTCTCCCTTGTCTTGTCCTCAAGAAACTACTGCAGAAATAAGCACATAACTAGGTTCTTTCTGCTAATCTTACGCTCTTGGCAGCCACCACTGTTGAAAACAAGCATTGGGAAAACTATGGCATTCTTTTTCATTTTTTGTAAGATGAGTATTTAGCAATTCCATCTTTTTTTGGGAAGAGAGGTCTTGGGGACAGTAAACAAACATGGCGATCCAGTGTGACACATAAAATTATGGCAATTTATTTATATCTTGAATATATCTCAGGCTCCACAGTGACTGTGAAATCCTCAGTAAAGGGTTTTTCTTTAAAACATTGCTAGCCAAGAGGGATCATTGCAAAGTGTAACAGGTGGCTTAATGAATACTGTGACATTAGATGACCTTGGTTTGAGTTGATGATTTATAGGATGGCAACAGAACTGAGCCCACAGGTATGGTGCAATGCAAGGGAGAACTCACCACTGCAAATACGATGCTGGCAAGTGCACTCAAACTGAAACAAATCTTGGTGGACTCTATGAACTTCCTTGTCCGGTCAACATACAGGCCTAGCAGGAAAGCACCCAACAAGCCACACACTGTGAACAGTGCACCATTCAGGCCAGCAAATTCCTGGAGGGCAGAAGAACAAGTAACTGAGCAACTAGAGCAGTTAGGAAAGAGGTTTTAGTGTCACTGACCCTTCTGCCTGCTGCTAGTGGGTCACTTACTGAGGTAAGAGAAGCTTCCCAGCCTGTCGCAGTAGCTGAGGCCTCCACAGGGCTGAATAGCAAACAATAGGGCTAAGGTACTGCTACAAGTGTGAGGGGACAGCAGGCACACAGTACACCCAAGGTCTCAGTGGATGACAGGTCTCTGCAAACCTAGCAAGGGAGGCTGAGTGCATAGCAGCCACGGTTCCCTGGCATTAAATGTTCCAGCCTATGCATAAGACTCTTCTCTATGGGTAACAGGGTGCTTTGTCCACACCTGGTAACAGGTCCAACTGCTTTGGGATCTGCTCCTGTTTATATTCATGCTCCTGACCTTTTTCTTACCAGGGACCACAAGGCTGGCAGCCCCAAAGTGTGTTAGATGAGACACAGCATCACCTGGCTGTACCAATGACGTCTAATTAGAGAGCCAGTGAGCAGTAGTTAGGATGGGGTATATGCTCTGTTCCCTTCAATGACTGTCTTTGCTTGTCCCAGCTCCATAAGAATTACGTCTCAGCTCCATAAGAATTCAAATGCAGACACTAATTCTGAAAGCAGGGAGGCTTTAACAAATTTGGGTAAACATTTTTGGGAGCCTCAAGGGCAGACTGGAAGGAAAGGGTATCTGGAATAGCTTCTGTGGGCTAAAAGGCCAGGGCAAGCAAGTCACATACAGACAAAAGCATTGTGATGCACAGAAAGCAAGGCTACAAAGTTTAAAAAATTTTCAGTTAAAAGCCAACGGAGTGTGTGAATGTGACCTGGCTACAGAGTACTGGGTCAGGTATGAGACCTGGGAGGGAGCAGACAGAGACCAGAGATGTGGATGTACAGATACAAAAGCTGGAGGGGTGTTTTAAGAGGACCCTCCTGGGAATACAAGTAGCAGGACTGAAGTGCTGCCCGCCCAAGAGGAAACACAGGAACTGGGGCAGCCCCTTGCTGTTGCGAGGAGTGAGCAGGAGGAATCAGCTGTGCACAAACCGTGCTCAACTGTAAAAGCAGCACCTGAGCAGTGTCATGGGAAGGGTGGGGAAATAACTGTTATAGTACCTGTGACTTCATCTGCTGCCCTGGCTTCATGAAAGACTGAAAAGAGGAAAAGGTGCTTGCATCAACCTGCCTTCAGCTTCACTCTAGTGCCTGCCTGGGCCCCATCCTACTCTGGGGAAATTGTCAGAAGGCTGCATAGGCATCAGTGGTCTGGACTGGCTTAATAAAAGCACAGTAGTCTTTTTTTTCCTAACAAATGTTTGAGGAGTAAAGGTTTTTCATTTGCAAATGGGAGCCTGACCATGGGCAGTAATGAAAATGCAGATCAGCCTCTATACTGAGAGATTGCGCTCTGGATTAATGTGCTGCTTAATCTATGTTAGATAATATGAGCAAATAAGATACAAGACAGTGAATTGTATTCAACTGTCTTCATTTTGCTCTGAGTTCCTTGTCAGGGAAAATCTTTTTTATGGTGTGTGGACAACAGGCAGGAAAGAAGGAAGACTCACATTTGAATACCCCTTTTCACAAAGGATCTGTTCTAGCAGAGCTGAAAAGCAGGTGAACATCCCAATTCCTCCTCCAAAGCACACTGCCAGGATGATGTATGGCTTGTTTCTCAGGAGCTAGAGAAAGAAGTTAACATATCATTTAAATAAGTGGAGGGGGAAAAAAGGCTTGGCTGTAACAGTAGAGTTGAGGGTTGGTGACTCTGACCCCTCAGTTGGAAATGTTGACAGGGCAACCCTGTGTCATTGGAGGAGTTTGGTTCTCTCCTGTCAGTTCAGCCAGAGAACAAGTTCAAATGGGGACCATATGGGGATGAATGGTCTCCTCAGTGCCCACATTCTTCCTTCATTTTGCCATGTGCTCTCTGAACTGCTCAGAAGGCTCAGCTTGAGTAGTCCTCCTGGATGAGGCCAGCTGTGCCTATCTGAGCTAGCCGAACGGCAGCCAGGCCACAGCTGAATAGTCAGAGAACATCTCTCACAGCTTTGCTGTGAGCAGCTTCTGCTCCCTGAGGAAGGAAGGAAGGAAAGAAGAAATGAATCCTGGTCTCCTTCAGGGACCTTTCCATGGCAGGTTTGGTGGAGTTCAATGCTTACTTTGTCGGCAGATTCCCCAGCATATCCCTGTCTAGCAGGGCTGCATCACTCACTCCAGCATGGGTCTCTCTCTGTGCTGCAGTACTTACCATTTTGAGCCCTGCGAGGAATGGCTGGGAGGTGGAGGTAGTGGCACTGGCCGAAGGAGGTGTTGGAGGCACCTTCTCATGAATCCCCACGGTTGCCAGAGCACAAGCTGTTACTGCTGGGACGGCATACACACCCAGCTACACAACACAAAGTAAAGGCATGTTACCAGTCTTTCCAGTGCCACTGCCTCCAAATAGATCTATTAGCTGGACCCCAGTCAGCCCAGCTGGCTGATTAAAGTAGTTTTCATTTACCATCAATGGGATGTGCTTTCCTTCAGGAACTAGTGCAGGTGACAGCACATTTGCTATAAGAATACCCAAGGGATTGGCTGGAAGGAAATAAAAGAGAGACACTTTTTCATGCAAGTAGTCAGAATCATGTGGCCACCCCTACTGCCAGTCAGCACCAGAGCTGCAGTGTGCGGCAAAGCAATGAATAACAACAGAACAAGGCATATATAGGGGAAAAACCAGGAAGGCAACATTCGGAGAAGTTGATTCTGTGGGCTCACTTGCCACATTTGTTCCCTCACCCCCATAAAGCCCATTCTCTCAATCTGTTTCCCTACCGTTGGTTTTCATCTATGAATTACACTGTCCTAACCCTCACGAGGCTGCCTCAGTAAATGCTAAGCTGAAGGAACAAAATTAAGATGGACAAACCCATGACATCTGTGCTGATGTTCTATAGCAGCCGTAACAAATAGAACTTTCCCTTGTTTACTGCTCCTATGCCATTAGGTATGTATACACAGGGGTAAGATCCCCCTGATCTGCTCACCCTGAGCCTTCTCAAGGGTGAGCAGCCCCACCTCTCTCAGCCTTGGCTGACATGACAGATGCTCCATGGCCTTAATTGTCTTAGTGGCTCTTAACTGGACTTACACTAATATATCCATGTTCTTCTTGTATTGAGGAGCCTATAACTGGATACAGCTTTTCAGATGTGGACAGGGAACCTCCCTCAAGCTGCTGGCACTGCTGTTCCTGATGATCACGAGGACGCCATTGGTCTTATTTGACAAAAGACATGAAAAGCTGGAAAGTGCTATGACAGCTCTCTAAAGTGACACCTTTCAAGCCAATATATTTCCCCAGTAAAGCCTGAGCTGGCATACAAGATGATCTCTGCCACCAACTACAAAAATCACATAGCACAAAAAAATCTTGGACACTTGCCTGTACTGAGTAGGGGGTTGCATTATTATGGGGCTAAGAGCTGAGCAGTATGTGAAGCAGTATTGCTGGGACTCAGCTTGGGAATGTCCAAAATTGGAGGAGACATTTTTTTGACTTTTAAGGTGATGTTCTGCAAACAGTCAAACAAGTGAAAGCTCATTTTTTACTAGTGTGCAGGCATTAACAAAACCAAAGCCAATCTGGAATTGAGTCTGGAGAGAGATGTGAAGGGCAGCAAGAATGGCTTCTACAAGTACATCAGCAGCAAAAGGAAGGTTAGGGAAAATGTGAGCCTGCTGCTGAATGGAGCAGGAGACTTGGTGACAAAGGACATGGAAAAGGCCAAGGTATTCAATGCCTTCTTCACCTCAGTCTTTACTGGTAAGACTGGCCTTCAGCCGTAAGACTTAAAGTTAATGTCTGGAGCAAGGAATATTTACCCTTAGTGAAGGAGGACTATGTTAGGGAACATTAAATGGACCAGACATACACTGTCCATAGGACAAAGGGATGCACCAATGAGTGCTGAGGGAGCAGGCTATTTTCACTGCAAAGCCATTCTTGGTTATCTTTAAAAGATAGGTCATGACAATTTCAAGAGGCTCCTGAGGACTGGAAGAGAGTGACTGTCACTCCCATCATTAAGAATGGCAATAAGGAGAATCCAGGGAACTCCAGGCCTATCAGTCTCCCTTTGATACCTGGGAATGTTCATGGAACAACTAATCCTGGACACCACTACCAGGCACATGAAGAACATCAAAGTGAGCATGAGTAGTCAGCAAAGAAGAAATGCTTAACTAACCTAATAGCTTTCTACAGTGAGATGACTGGCTGGGCAGATGAGCGGAGAGCAGTGGATATTTTATCTCAGCTTTACTAAGGCTGTTGACACCGTCTCCCATAACATCCTCATAGAAAAGCTGGCAAAGTACTGGCTAGGTAAGTGGACAGTGAGATGAACTGAAAGTCAACTGAACAGCTGGGCCCAGAGGATTATCATCACTGGCATGAAGAAGCTGGAGGTCAGTCACTAATGGTTGAAACTGTTGTTACTGGAACCAATACAGTTTAACCTTGAAGAAAAACCTGGATGATAGGGCGGAGTGCACCCACAGCCAGTGGGACACTGTGAGGAGTGGCTGATAGAACAGATGGCTACACTGCCATTCGGAAGTTCCTCAAGAGGCTCAACCTTGTGAAATTCAACAAGAGAAAACGTAAAGTACTGCACCTGGGGAGGAATAACCCCATCCACCCGTACACACTGGGGATGACTAACTGGAAAGCAGCTCTGCAGAAAAGGATGTGACGTGGGGGAGAAGATCCTGGTGGACATCAACTTGACCATTAGCCAGCAACACAACCTCGTGATAAAGAAGGCCACCAGCACGCTGAGCTGCATTATAGATGTAAGGAAGAAGTTCTTCACAGTGAGGGTGGTGAGGCACTGGAATGGGTTGCCCAAGGAAGTTTTGAATGCTCCATCCTTGCCAGTGTTCAAGGCCAGGTTGGACAGAGCCTTGGGTGACAAGGTTTAGTGTGAGGTGTCCCTGCCCATGGCAGGGGGGTTGGAATTAGATGATCTTAAGGTCCTTTCCAACCCAAACCATTCTATGATTCTATGATTAAGCAGAATTTTAGCAGCAGGAGGTGATTCTTCCCCTCTTTTCGGCAGTAGTGAGGTCATATCGGGAGTACTGTGTCCAGTTCTGGGCTTTGCAGTATGAGAGAGACATGGACTTACTAGTCCAGCAAAGGGCCATAAAGATGATTAAGGGACTTGAGCTTCTGTCATGTGAGGACAGACTGAGAGAGCTGGGACTGATCAGCCTGGAGAAGCTGCTGGAAATCAGTTTTGCATAGAAAGACATGGGTGGACTGCAAGTGTAGCATGAGCCAGGAGCATCCTCATCTGCATTAGGAAGAGCACCGCCAGCAGGTGGAAGATGGTGATCCTTCCCCTCTACTCAGCCCTGGTGAGAAACATCTGGAGTGCTGAGTCAGTACTGGGCTCCTCAGTACAAGAAAGATATGTAGTTAATAGAGCAAGTCCAGTCAAGGGCTAAAGACACGATTAAGGGACCAGAGCATCTCTTGCACATAAAGAGGCTGGGACAGCTGGGACTGTTCAGCCTGTAGTAAAGAACCTTGATCAGAGATTGTATAGAAGAGGGAACCAGACTTTTCTCAGCGATATCCAGTGACAGGATAAGGGGCAATGGGCACAAACTGTAACACAGGAAAATCTGTCTGAATATAAACCTTTTTCCTGTAACTGTTTGAACACTGAAACAAGTTGCTCAGATAAGTTGCAACATCTCTATCCTTGGAGATAGTCAAAACCTGGGCAACCTGTTCTAATCAACCCTACTTGAGCAGGGAGCTCGACAAGACAATGCCAAGAGGTGCCTTCCAACCTTGTCTGTTCTGTAATTCTGCTAAGGCACCATTAATACTGCCAGAGAACAGAACCACCATAGAATTTCTGTTCTGTGCTTGGGAAAGTACTAGTTTATGATCCTGATGAAATGTTACCTGCTTCTAAGTACATGGACACAATTAAACAACAGTTTCCAAGGAGGTGGATTAAAGCTTCTCTGTTAGGGTAAAATGTTTCTAGGCATTGTAAGGGACTGCCTGAAAACTACTGTCAGATGTTTCCATGAACTATCAGCATGCCAAAGCACTTCCGGAAGCATGAGAGAGGGTGGAAATGTGAGCATTGGGCTAAATTTGAAAAGACTAAGTGAGACTATCTGAGTAATTACAGGGTTTACAGCTGCCTTCTCTTCTTGAAAGAGAAATTATATGAGCCAAAAGTAAGAAAAGATCACTGAAGTTAATGAACTGTACGTTACGGTCAGGGGTCCTGGTGGATTTGCTTGCAGTACTCTGCAATGGGAATGTGTGTTTTGTGGACAGTGATGTTGATGCACTAACACTCTGCAGGGTGCAGAAAATGACATGCTGGCGGACAACAGTAAATGAAGAATCCCATGGATGAAGCAGAGGCCACTTTAGAAGACTCAGAGAAGTCTTTCCTGTCATGACACAGGAGAATTTCTCATGCTCTTCAGAGAGGCCAGCTCTTAGCCCTGCACTGCTTCTCTGTAGGTAGGTCTCTACAAGTGATGGGGAGAACAGAGATAGGATACTCAAAAGAACAGCTGAGTCATAGTGATTTCAGCTGCTCCACTGGATCTGGTTTTGTCACAGAAGCACAGGTAAGCCTACCCAGAGGCACTGGGGATACTGACAGGAGGCTGTAGGACTGGTTTCTGTGTGCAGCAATGATACTGACAAAAATGGAATGAGGCACTAACACAGGAAATAGGTATTGCTAAATCAGAGCAAGATGAGAGAAAAAGCTCACGTGAGCAACAGGCAGACATGGAGGCACGTGGGAAGAGGCAACGGGAAATCTGGTCTTAAGATGACTGGGTTGAAGCCATTCAGTCCTTACAGGCAAAGCAGAGAAGAGGTGACTGTCCATAACTACCTGACAAACAGGTACAACAAGCTGGGGTTAGCAGAATCAAGACAAGAAGTAACATGCAGACATTTGCCAGTCAGGTAATTAACCACCAGAGTAAACTACCAGGGTGCGGCAGATGCTCCTTCTAGGCAATATTTAAACTTTCTTGAAATGAAATCCTGATTTTGTACAGCACAGTAATGGGTGTAACCAGACATTATCAATAGAAGCCCTTTATGGGGCAAAACACATCAATACGCAGGTGTTGCAGCAGATAATCATCACAGCCCATTCAGTCCTCACACTAAAATCTCAACTTCAGATCTTGGGTTTTCACGGTTCCTTGCTCTTCAGTTTTATTCTGTTCTACAGTTAGATCCATTTGATTCTGTAAGGACTGAGGACACTATTTTTTTTTTTTTTTGCTTTTACACAAAGTAAACCAAATGCTTTTTGGCTGCTCTCTCACTTAAAAAGAGGAAGTTGTCTGCAGGCTGGAGGCCTTCAGGGCAGTGAAGGACAAAGTGCCCAGTGGTCTCCAGTAGTACTTGTACTGCACCACACAAACAACCGAGCTCCGTCTTCGGCAGGGAAGGTGAAGGTCTGTCTCAGCCCTGGGAAACAAGGTAAGCCAAGAGGTCCACTCAATTCTAGGGAAGGCACTGCAAGAATAATTTATTTGTTCTGACACTGTAAATCCGTTCTGACACTGTAAATCCATTCTTACTAAACAATAGTGCCTGTGCTCTGGGTTTGCAGCAGCACTGGGAAAGCTGTATAGGGGTGCTCCTTTACTGCCCTATTCCTCATGCCTACGCCTTCCCAACTCCAGGGCAGTGGGGAGAGAAGGTGCTGTTGGCTGTTTTGAGAGAAGGGCAGATGGGGCTGCCCCACACATGTAGGTACTGTGAGATTTCCTAGCTGGAGCCAGTGAGCCAGCCTAGTTTCTGGGGCATCTCTCAAGTATTTGGAGAAACGAGGAAGAGCTTTCTTCTAGCTGCTGGGGAAAATGTCACATGGAGGGAGGAAACAGGTCTGTCAAGCGCAGTATCCTGTCTCTAGCAGAGCCCAAAGGAACAAGAGAGGAATGAGATTAGAGCAAGTGTATCTGGTGCCTCCCCTCCAGTTTCTCAGCTTCCAGACAATTTGCAAGGCAGATACGGTTTCTGCATGGGTAGTCCTGCTGCATTTGGCATCCCCAACATGTTTGTGTGGCCAGCAGAGTATATTTTATCTGTGTGCGCATACATGCTAATTGGGAATACACAGTCAACCTTGCTACTGGATGAACTAGTGGGCAGAATTGCTGCAGCAGCTTCATCTCTATCCAGTTACAGAATTTGGCAATTGTGACCACTGCCATCAAATGCAATTTGGACACCTTCGTAACAAGTTACTGAATTAAGGCCACTACAGACATTAGATTTAGTAACATTGAGGTCTATCCCCAACCTCTATGATATTTACTCAAGGATGATCACCTTGTCATTGCAGAAAAGAAGGAGGCTGGGAGCCTGGGTGGCTTGCTTTGAACTCTGCACCTGCATGTCACTAAGGCCCACTTCTTGCTCCGCAGCTTGGAAAAGCCTGCCTGTCTTACAGTGCCTTGAAGGCGCTGGTTTATTGCACATGGCTATGAGAGTCTTGGACGAAGCTGTATTTGCAGGGCCAAATGATTGTAGTACAGAGGGTTTCCTTTGCCTGCTGCCTCTGAAAGGCAAACAAATGCAGTAATATTACTTTGCAGCTGTCACTTACACATTGATGCGATCATATTTGCTGTCGCTCTCTGGTGGTCTGGAAACCATAGTGCTGCCAACTTTGTCGGTGAAAAGATAATAAGGGGCTGTGCCAGTGCACAGAGGCATTGCCCAGTAAATAGGTACCAGTACCTCTGGGAACCCAAGTTCAGGAACTTCAGGACACTGAACATCCGGATGATGCTACCCATCATGTTCAGCCACGCACTCAGGATCACCTGCATCAAGCAGAAACAGACATGGTTTGTGTTCTGAAGCCTGAAGGGCAGAACTTTATACAACAGAGCAGCTTGAGCCAGGTCTCAGAGACACTACAGGAGACACTAGGTGTTAGTAATCACTGCATGCAAAATTGCCTGCAGACCACCCCTTTGTGCCACTGCAAGATGCTCCTGATCCAACAGTGAGTTACCTGAAACCTTAGAGAGCAAGGTGGCTGTCCTGGCACCACATAAGAACTACACCACAATGTAATATCTTATGCAAGACAGCACATACTGTAATGGAATTAATAAGAAATTCAAAGTTCACTAATTACATTCTATTTGCAAGTTTGCATCATCACCCATATTTTGATGTGACAATCCAAAGATGGTGGCAATGAGTCATTCAGCCTACAGATGCTGCAAATGCTCATCTATATCACTAGCATGCTAGTGTTTCAGTGCCACATTCTGCAACACTTGCTTCTGGGAATACTGTGCAGAGAACCTAAGCTGCCTTAGCATAGACCTCTGAGCTGACAGGGGTCCCTTGCTTGCATCATGCCCTGCTGCTTCTTAAACTGGCCCTGCAAACAAAATAGCTGTGCTAACACTTCTCTGTAGCAAACCCTACCCATTTACAAGCTCTTCACAGAGTCAGCCCACAGCATCTGTCCCTGTCAGCTGGCTAAGACAACAAAAACTGAAGCAAGAAAAGGCAAGTAGGGATGCAACCTTATTCTGACTTTTCCCACTGCTCCCCACCTTAGAGGTGGTGTGACAGCTATTACTGAAGTAGGACAGAGCTTTCAACATTCTCATCCTCTGCACTATTTGGCAAGACTCCCATACTGCTATCTCTAGGTGAAACACTCCCAGGAAAACAAAACAGTTCGACTCACGGCACATCTGAGCCCCAGGCTGTCGAGAACCCATGTTGCCACCAGACCAAATGGGATTGAGATGAGGAGGTACACTACTGAGAGCCAGTTGACCATCTCCAGGGAAATGTGGAAGTAGATCGCTGTCTTATCAGCCACGGGAGCAAACGTAAGCCACAGCTGCAGAGTAGAGAGCAAAGATTGGTAAACATGAACACCTCCACCAGACCAGAAACATAGCATCCCCTCAGACTGAGTTGTGAATGGGCTCGCCATCTTAAGTTTCTCCTTGAAATTACAATGAAGCTGGTAATAAAAATTCAAACCCCCAACGTCTGCAGTTGGGGAGTATTTTACTACTGGTACCATTGTTATTTTGGCCCAGAGCACCAAATCCATTTCACTACATCATCCCCAGTCACCTAGTCCTGCTGCTGGTAGCTGGCAGAAGCAGGGGTCAGTACCTTTTTCTGTCCCCTGGTTGTATATGTTGGCCCCTGATGCACTTACCTGATGCAAACAATTCTTACGAGCAATGCTTCCATGCTAGCATAAACAAAACAGAGGCCGCCATCTCCTCTTTGCAGCTAAGAGCCTCTTAAACTCAGCCTGATATTTACAGTTATTGGTAATCCCTGGATAAGGCCTTGTAAGGACATCTTTGGTATGTGTTGGCCAAGAAAGACAACATTCCATGCTGTCTTATACCCATTCAACAGGTAGGAAAGGGTCTAGAAATCTGCATTATTACCTGCATTATTATCAGAACACATAAACACAACAGGTTACTATTCAGTAACTATCGATTTTTACACCTTTCAGTGCCAGGTCTGAAAATATTTCCCTAAAGCTCATTTTAGGCACATAAGGTTGCTGTCTGCTTCCGATTTCTTCTGGGAATAACAGAGCCTGTTTTGATCCTCAAATCAGGTCCTAAGATCTTGCCCACAAGGAATAAATGAGGGTACTAGCCCAGTTTTAAGGATGCTTCTCTGGGTTCTTTGTGAAAATGTGCCCACTCTGGTGGCCTAACCTGAGAACAGGTTTTAGTAATGTGAATGTAAGCTACTTCACTGTTAGAAGATGATCTTGCAGCTGCTGTATACTTAAGATGATTAAGTTTGCAGAAATGTGAACAAAAACTTCAGTTATAGCTTCTTACAAAAGAAATCCAGCCACTATCTCTTTCCAGGTATACCGCTCTGCCATCACAAGCTTCCTCTTCACAGCCTGCATCCTGCAGAGAACATCACCTGCGGCATTAATATGTAACTGAAAAGGGCTTGGGTAACCTCAGAGGAAGGTGTGCCCCTACACTCTGCAACTTCTTATTTCCAGTGTTCCTATTTACTTCTTAAATGCAGGATACCATAAAAACCTACCACAATGAATGGAAGCAGAAGGGAAGATGAGCTTTCCTTCTTTCTTAGTGTCAAAGTGTGAGAATAGCCACATGCAAATCATTGTTCAGCTAAGCTTTCTCCTAGCAGGGATGCAATGAATAAATGGCAGTTACAGAGAAGTTCTGAACTTTTCATCAGTGTCCTAGCAAGGACTCCAAGCATCAGCCCCTTCCTCCTCTCTGAAAGGAGCTGACATGCCGAATCCCCTGCATTCAACACAAAGCTCACATTACCACGCTGCGCTCAGCCTGATCCCACACTCATGTGGGATCAGTCAAAGTTCTGGCATGGGGTGGATCTGGTGTATACTCAGCTTCTACAATCAGGTGGATGAAGATGCTGGGTGCTGAAAGAAATTGTCATCTTGTTAGACAACAAGGAGGCTGTTCCAGGTCACTGGGAGACTTGCAGCAGAGATCTAATAAGATGAGCTTTTTAAAATTCCTTGAAATAGTATATTATAGTGGAATGCTGTTACTGTCTTGTCTTGGGAAGAAATTTCATCCACCTTTGTTTTCCAGAACTGATCTGAATCAGACTGGGATGGAAATTTGAATGTTTCATGCTATTGTAACTGTTTAAATGTTACAAGCATCACTAAGGCATGAGCATTAGTTTGATTATGGGATGCTAAACTGCTGCTAAACAAAACCCAGCTGTGTATTTCCAGCAACAGCAATTCTCAGTTCCTCACTGCCTTCCAGATGGGGGTGGTGATGAAATACCTTACAGGAAACAGTGTAATTATAGAGATGGTACATTTTGTAAGTCAGCTTGAGGTACATTTTCACCTCTCCGGTTCCTCCGCAGAAGACGCTCACCCATGCATGACATCATTAGGAGAATGATGTCACTCTCCTAATGCCAGAGCACAGCATTTTGTGTTCAGCAGCTGTCTACATCTAGACAAGCTGCAGTCAAGCACTCTGGCAGGTTTCCGTTAGACCTCACAAAACCATGCTTCACTGAAAACCAAGCATTTGGGCTGCCCTGTATTTCTATCACGAGCAAGAGTTCCAGTTCTAGTGTGTGGGAGAGCACAGAAGGTGAGAAGCTGCAGCATGCCCAAGCGTGAGTTTGTTCTCCAGAATAGGAAGTGGATTTCTTTATGGGTCTGTGGAGAAAAAGCATGGTTTTGCCCTCATTCAGGCAAGGGTTGTTTAACATCTCTTGTTCTAACAGAGAAATTCAGAACTGGGCAATGGAGCTTGAGGTGTAGCTGTGGTCAAAGTGGCCACCAGATGCCCCTGCAAGAAAGAGATGGTATTGTGGGATGTTGCCAACACAGGGAAATGGCCATGCTAAGCAAGTGAGTATACCACCTTCTGCTTTGGACTTTCCCAGCTATAATGACTTTATCCACAGTAGTTAGCAAGCTCTTCTGCTGGGAGCTTGTGCCCTCTTCTCCTGCATGTTTTTTCTGAAACTCTGCCAAGGCTGGTAGTTACTCAGAGACTGTTGTGATACATGTCCCCTCAGGCAGAACAGGGTGAGGATGATGCAGCTCTTTCCTAGCAAGGTCTAAGCCCTGTAACATCTTAACACGCAGAGTAGAAACTGAGAGGTTCTTCTCTCCTCCATTCCCCAAGGGCCAGTACTTTAACTCAGCTTTGCCACACCAAAACCAGTATCAAAGCCCCGCATCGTAGATGACAGATGCAGAATAAGAGAGAATGTGTGGGCTAGTTGCTCCTGGGACTGATAAAGGAGCAACCTCTGTCCTTTCAGGGTTGTCTACACACTTGTCCAATCCCTGCACAAGCCTCACTTTGTGGAAATAGGCTTTGTGGTGTGGCCAAACTGCACTCAGCTCCATTGCCAGCGTAGCCACAGAGACCTAGAACCTTAGTGTGAATTGCAGAAGGCAACAAGAGGAGTCTGTTACACACTGCGCTGCTACATCCATGTCCACGTGCACTCCTCAGAAGGCAGCTCAATGGATGTCACAACAGCAGAACTGGGAGCACAGCCCCTTGTCAATGTCTCTTCCTGACTTGCAATGGTGACAAGCAATTTCCATTCACCCATTACGGCTTATGTCCCTTCTGATCCCTGCCATGGCTACAATTAACAAAAAGCAAATTTTGACAAAAGTCCCAGCTTGGCACCCCACAGACCAGGAATGCCTTGCCTCTGAGGCTTCAAATGCACCTAGGTCAGTCCCACACCCTGACTGCTCAACACCTATCTTGTGCAGTACTCATAGCAGAATACAGCTGCTCCTGAGCTCAAGCCTTAGAAGCATGGTCATCTCAGTGTGATTCCTGAGCTTAGAGACAAGAAATTCTCCAGTGCATGCTAGTCTTGGCAGGAAGTCATTCCTCAGCACACACTCACTATAAAAACCTGTGCTCTACACAGTAGGCACAGCAACTGATGAAAAGGACAAAAGGTCCCCTGAAGACCCGCAAGCCTCTTCTGGCTTGCACTGGAGTACAGCTACAGCTGCCACTGCTTTCAGCACAGAGCTGGATGATTGGGTAACCGTGCCCCATCACTACAAGAAAAGGACAGAAATATTTTCTACCCAGAGTCTATTCATATCCCCAATTCAGGAAAGCCCGCTCAATGCCTCCTTTGACAATGGCGCATGTCGCACCACAAGGAAAGCAAGCGAATGGAAACTCAAACTGTCTGACTGGTACTGATGTTGAAGGAGTACTGGCTCCACTTTCAGCTCTCCCTCCCTTTGCTTTAACTTTATTCTAGATAACATTTTGTTTTTTCTTCTCCTGCACCTCCCAGAGATTGCCTGCTCCCTTTCCCATTAATTGCAAGCCTGCAACAGGATACAGCTGTTCCCATCCTGCTCCCATTTCTAAGCTGCTTTGTTTTTCTTTCTGATACCACTGCAAACCCCTAACTGATACTCAGACATGGATCTTTTATCTTCCTCCCAGAGTAAGCCCAAATCCTCCAGTTTTCTCCCTGTTCTCATTCCCCTTCCACCTCCATCTTCTCTAGGTTCAGTTCCTCTACCCTCTTGTCTTTACTATTTTCACTCCCCCCACAGACTCTCCAGGACCTATTTCATCTACAGGACCCAGTTTCTCTCCATCCATTCCAAGAGAGCCTGACATTTGCCCTCTGTCCTATTTCTGCAGGAGGTAACCAGTGGGCTGTGAACCACTGATTCTCTGTCTGCATTGGGTGAAGGCAGGACTCCATTCAGACTTTACACTTTGGTAAGCAGCAGTTGTGAGCTGCATAAAGCAACATAAATACAGCCCCAGGATTTTTGGAGCTCAAAGAGCAGTACTGATATATGTTGATGCACTACACACATAACCAGGCACAGTCCTGACAGAAGCAGTACCAAAAATGTTGTTTTTCATGAAAGGCAATCTATTAACCAAAGTCTGCCCTCCTTACGAGCAAATCAAGGTTCTGAAAGTGAAAAGCAAAATTACTTGCAGAATGGCATGTGCATGCAATCAGGCAGGTTGGAAATTAAGCCATTTTGCCATGTCAGTGGTGGTACCAGCTAGCTAGCTAATGCTGCCGCATGCAGTGTTTTTCACTGTCTGGCATATTGTACAGCTGTGCACAGTGCAGAAATGCCTTTGTAATACCTTTTGTGTACAGTTTAAAAAGGAGGAGCTAAGGGGGACAACTTACATGAAACAGGATGTTCTGCTTTGTAAGAGGCACAGCTTGCCGATCCCCAGGCCGGCACTGCCTGCAGCAGCTCTCCCAGTCCCAGCATGCTCTCTCCCATGCACATAAGCACTGCTTTGAAGGTGATGCAGGATGTCTTCCTGAGACAGGCAGGCTGCT